ATAGCGACCCCTCCTTGGGTTTCTGAGGCAGTATCACTACGAAAGTAGATTGCCCCATCTTCCTTCCAAGGAGTGGCTGGTGGGTTTGAACCGCCAGCCTTCTGGTTAGCAGTCAAGTGCCTTAGGCATTTTACTACCAGAACTCCCCTTTAGGGTCGGGGCTCTCAAACATGCAGTAGTCAAGGGGTGTACCTGGCCACTTGGGAACTGGTCCACAAAGTTCAAGGGACATTATGATAACGTGAAACCCCCGCCTGGGAGCTTGTTTTATTGGTAAGAGTGGCTAACATTTGTGCAGGCCTGTGAAGGACCTAGAGGCATGGTCTCAGGGTGTCACCAACCCGTCCTACAGATGAAGGTGACTCAGGTTCAGTAGCGCAGTGACAGCTAGTTAGAGGCTGGGGTCCTGGCGCCTGGTGGGTGTTCAGCACCCAGGCCCCTGCTCTCTCCATGGTAGGTGGTGACAGTGCCATCCTGTGGGTTCTCCCTGATTCTCTGTGACCTTTGGGGTTCCTCCCACCAGCAGAAGGCAGGCAGATAGGTGTTGAGGTGCCCTGCCTTGTGGCAGTGAGCTGCCTCACCCCATCCGTGTTTCTCAGACTGTGGGATATTTAGGGGGCTCAATGGTCCAGAGAAGGAGGCTTGGTGACACAAGCAATTTGTGCTTGATTACTAACCTAACAGTTGGCGGTTTGAACCCACATAGCGGTGCTGCAGAAGGGACCCCTGTAGAGGCGCCAGCCAAGAGAACTCTACGGGGTTCAGCTCTATTCCCCCACACATGGGCTCACCATGAGCTGGAATCGATTCGACATCAACGCGTTTGGTTTGGGTGGTCTGGAAACCCTTAGGAAACCCCGGGGCTGGGACCAAGCGGTGCATGGCTGGGGGTTATTGTCAGTATTGGCTGTTTCCTTTGATCACCCATTAACAATGGTCCCCTTTAGAGAGACAACGAGAACCTTTCTACAGTGGACATGGTGGGTGTCCTCCAGGCCCTATGGGTCCCTTAGGGTCTGTGACCCACCCCAGCTTCCACGAGCTTGTCTGCTAATTCCTGGCACCTTGGGCCAACTTCTAAGATCCACCCGGGGCTCCTTCACTCATGCAGGGCAGGAGGACCAGGCAGTCCACTTCTCTGGACAATTTATACCCCACGCTAAGGTGGGGACTTTGCCTCAAACTGCCCTGTTGGTTGAGATACCCCCTTCTGTCCTGCTTCCCTGACTCCTCTGGGAGTGTGTCCTAAACACATCCTTTGTCCCAAGTCCAGGTGGCAGGCTTTGCTTTTGGAAGCCCACTGAAGGCCAATCCTTTCTCGCAGATGAGAGCTTTCTCATGCCAGAGTGAGATAGGGAAAGGAGCCCGGCTGGTGGCACAGTGCCTAAGGCATTGCACTGCTAACCAGGTCAGTGGTTCAAACCCACCAGCTGCTCGGTGGAAGGAAGATGGGATAATCTACTTCTGTAAAGATTTACAACCCAATGGGGGTTGCTATGAGTTGGAATCGACTGGATGGCAGTGGGTTTGGTTTTTTGGTTTGAAGATGAGGAAACAGTATGCAATGTCTCTTAACCCCAGTAATCCCAGTAACCTTTCATTAAAACCCCTGCCCGGTCCAGTTTTCACCAGGCGCTCTGCCTGGACTAAAACAGAGAGGTGGAATGGATTTTACAAGGCCACATAGCAGCTCCAAGGGATAGCTTCCTCCCCATGAAATGCACCTCCCGGCTGTTGTTGGGGGCAGTTGAGGTGGGGGAGGAGGCAGCTGGGGTGGAAAGCAACACAGCCAAAGTAAAAAAAAAATTTTTAAAAAAGCCTCTTTCCAAAGAACTGTAGAATTTATTGTAGAAGCATTGCAGCTTTTCAAAATGTCATCGTTGCCACTAATGATTACTGATACAAGCGAGTCGTCAGATCTTGTGGATTAGAATCCAGATACAGTTTCAGGGAGTAGCAGCGAGGGCATGCTGCGGAGTTTACACAGTCGAACTCAACAGAACTGGGCTGCGAGGGAGAGGGGTTCCAACAGCAACACAGTGCCATTGAGCATGGTGGGACGTGGGGTCAGGCAGGCGGACAGGACGCGCCATGGCCTTCTGAGCGAACAGCAAGTGTGGTTTCTTGGAAGCGCCTGCCCTTGTATCACTAGGCTGTTTCGTGGTTCTGGAAAGCTCTGTGTGTGTGTTGCATGTAGGGACAAAAAGCGTCTGGAACCGGACGTCCATTCACAGGACGGCAGACAGGACCAGGGAATGGAGTCACCCTGGTTTTTGCTACACGGGGAGAGCACTCACTGTCAATTCTGCCCAAACACTGGGTGTCTGGGGACAGAGGTGGCTCTAGTGCAACTGGTGAAGTCCATCTGGTAGACCCAGGCTTGATAGGGAAATGGTTTTCCTTCTGAGGACCGCGTGATGGACAAGCCGGAAACAACAAGAGTTAGAGAAAGCTGGCCCAGCCACTTCCTCGCCACCCAGGACAGGGAAGCACACAGCCCTGACTCGAGGCCCCCCCAGCCCCCTCCAACCAGCCCATACATTAGCCACCTGAGGACCTCCGCCTGATTCCCTACTGGAAAAGGGGCCCTCTGAATGCACCCCAAAGACAGCGGTACAGCCAGTACCTAAAGGGTGTAGCCGTTTCTGAATAAATACCCCATCGGTTCACGTGGAACGTGCATGACCTCTCAGAAGCTACCCCTACTCCACACCCCGTGAACTTCTGCCCGTCATCCTAGGGCCCCAGGACCAACGATGCTGCAGCTCCACGGCCTGGACTTCTAACACTGGCTGCAATTTGAACTGCATGCTCTGCCTCCCAGTAACCCACCTCACCTTCCTTCTAGCTCATTGCAAATGGCAAACACAGTCCCTATAACGAAGCAACAAGATGCAACAAGATGGCTCAAGAGGACTGGACACGCTTCAACCTGGCTTTCGGCCGACGCCACTCTGACAAGACTCACATCCAGGTCTTTGACCTGATGTGACACAGTGCTTAACGAGGCTGCAGTAGGGGGAGGGGGCACTTCACACAGCTGGGCACACCCAAGGTGGGGGACAAGAGGGTGCTGGCGGGGGTGCTGGCAAGCTGCAGTAGCCCTTTGATAGCACTGTCCAGGGACACCCCCACCCCACCCTGGGACAAGGGCCACTTCCTGTAAGGCACTGCAGAGACCTTCCCGTCAAGGAGAGATGTGCATGTACAAAGCCCATCTCTGAAGGCGACCCTATACCTTCCAGGACAATCTCTCAGGATTCCTCTGCATGGCCTCCTACAAGAATGCTCCACAAGAGAGAAGCAACTTAGGATGAAGGCAGGTTCCCACAGCCAAGGAACAAGGACTTCCTGCCAGGCAGTCCAGGGCGGAACTTCTTTTCAGATGCCATTCATCGGTCTCGGTCTTCTTAAGCTGTATCGTGTGTATATGTGGACCTATATAGAGTCCAAGTGGTCAGAACGTCAAACCGTTCTCCAGTGTTTGTTTTCCAAGTCATAAAAAAGTTGTTTAAAAACAAGTTATTGCCTCTTATACCTTCTTTTAAGCTCTGCTACTAGTCAGCGTTCTGCATGGGGCGGAAGGCGGGGGTGGCGGCTGCCTCTTCTTCCTGACTGGGCTCACATGCATCCTGCGCGCCGATGGACTCAGTCGTCAGCAGGGAGAAAGGAGGTCAGGCTCCACCCACCAGCGCTGCTGGGTTCCAAGAAGCCCACCTCAGCCTCTCTGCTCCTGTGCCTACCCACACCTGCGAGCGCCCACCTACACGCCGTCACCGAGCGGTCCTGCTAGCCCCAAACCGACTCAGTGGAAACCTTGTAAGCATGAGCGAGCCCAACAATGATGCTCAGGAAAACACGGTAAGAATGTGTTTGCACGGGATGTGTGTGTGTGTGTGTGTGCGCGTGTGTGGAGAAGGTAAGGCGCTCCCTTTCTAACAGGTAAAGAACGGCTTTGCATTGGTTTGTTTTCTCCTTTTAATCCTTTCCCATGTCCTTGGGGAAAACTGGGGTGTGTCACCTTTCCATCTGAGGTCTTCTGCTGCTTGGCCTCAATAGGCGAGGGCAAGCAGATGGGGTGGAGCTCAAACCCCCCATACAATACTCGGGGTGTTTCCTGTGTCAGGGTGCTGCACCCACCTCTGCCAATAAACGCCGGGCCAGCGAGTCACGCATCGCCCCAAGGGCACACTGCCCACATACACACACACACACAGAGCCTCTCGGGTGTGTCACCAGCGACCCCCAACAGGCTAGGCTGCAGCTCCCAAGGTGGCCCCCTTCCCACGGTGACCTTCGAGTTCAAAAAATAAAAGAGGGGAAACTAAGATTCCTTCAGTAACAGTTTATTTTCATCTGGAGTCACCACCTGGCACGGGCGTTTCTGGAGTAACCTGCCTACTTTTGTTTGCAAACCAAAGGCCAGAGTTGTGTTGGGATCAGAGTGGCCGGGAGGAGAGACTTACGCTTCCTTTGGTCGGGAATGTACGACAGCTGATAATCTGCCACGAAACCGGAGCTTCCTCATCCTGGGCAGAGGGAGCTCAGCCCTCAACCCTCACGTCTCCTCCGAAACCCCCCTTGTCTCCCCTTAGAGTCCCCACAGACAGGACACAAGTGCCCATCCAACAAGCACTGACATATTTATATTAAAAAATAGTGCAAAATCTCAACATTTATATAAATAACTCTAAACCCCTGCTTTGTATTTTTTTTTGTACAAGGTAATACATACTTTGAGTTGGCACTCAAAACTCGCCATTTTCTCTCTGCTAGTTCAGAAAACAACTTTGTTTTTAATATGCCTCTTCTAATACAAAAATACTCCTGCCCTCGCACATACAGCTTCTTATCTTATATATATTTATATATATGATATTGCAGATCTTTAAACAAAGGTTTGTGCAAATATGTCTTTAAAGTTAAGTGAAGTCATCATAAACAAACAGAAAAGAAGCATTCACGCACGCTGTTCAACTAGAAACGAAAAAGAAAACCGAGTAGGACTTTTTTTCGTTTTGCCTTCAAGACACAGCTCAACAAAGAAACGGGGGTGGTTTTTTTTTTTTTTTCCTTTTTTGCAAGCTTTCTAGCTTGTGCATTCGGACCAAACAGAACATGTAAATATTTATACACAGAGAGGCGGGGAGGATGGGGATGGCCGTGTTTTCCGCGTCCCGCCCTCTCTGTCCTCTAAGAAGTGCGCGGTGTTGTGCCTTTCACCTAGGCTGCCCCGGCCTGGCCCCCTGGGACCCCTAGAGAGGGTGCCCTTTCGGTTTATCCTTCTCCTTGCTCCAGAGGGCTGTGCTCTCCGGGGGGGTGATGTGTGCCGGGTGCAGCCGGGTGCCCTCCAGCAGGGAGGGTGGCCCGCTGCCCTGCTGGTGCTGGAAGGACGCAGAGCCCGGGTAGTGCCCGATGACCTCGCTGTAGGTGGGGGGCGGCCCTTCCATGCGCCCGCCGCTGCCGTAGCACGTGGCGCTGATGCCCGAGTTACTGCTGGGGGGGCAGGGGCCGCCCAGTAGGCTGCTGTCCATCAGGTCGCTGTCAAAGATGGTTCTGTTCGGGGGTGCGCGCACCGACTCCCGGTTCAGCTCCAGCTGCTGCTCGGGGTCCCGCAGCTGGAGGGTGCAAGGGCCCTGGTAGGGTGGGGGCTCCTCGCCGTCTGACAGTGAGATGGTGGGTGGCAGGTCGATTTCGTGCTGCAGGTACGGATAGGTGGGCTGGAAACGGTGGAAGCGGTCCCGCTGGGTGAAGGAGGGCACAGTCAGGCGGTCGGCGGGCCGTGGCGGAGCGAAGATCTGTGCCTGGGGGCAGAGCGGAGGGAGTGAGGAGCTGCCTGCCATCGGGGTCCACAGGCACGGAGCCTGAGGCCAGGGTTCAGCTCTGCTCCCAGGGAAGGGAAGAGGGGAAAGGAATGGAGGGAGGGAAAGAGGGAGGCGCCTGGTGTCCCTAGGCAAGGGCTGGCTCTGCCTTCTGGGAAAAGGAGAGGGGGAAGGAAGTGGGCAGGGCTGAGGAGGGAGCAGGGTGAGGTCCCATCTCAATGGGAGTGGGGTCCCCGCAGGACCCCACGGGGAGCCGTGGGAGCATGAAGAGCACCACAGAGCTGCACCCCGTCCCTTCAAATACGGCGCCCTCTGCACTGGCATGCTGCATAGACACTGGGCTGCCCCAGGGGGTGGGGCACACCCACTCTCTCAACAAGCGACTTGCCAGCAGCCGAGAGCCAGTGCTCTGAGAAGGGTGAAGGTGAAACTGTTAGCAGAGTGAGGATGCCCTGCCAAGCGGGCGGGGCGGGGCTGTGGGGCTCACCTCGGGGATCCCGTTGCCCGAGACGGTGCTCTCCGAGGGCCAGAGGCAGCCTTCCTACGTGGGGAGGAGAGACGGCCAACAGTGTCAGTGGGTGGGCAGGGGCCCAAGAGCTGGTGACTCTCAGACCTCGAATGCTGAACTAGAGCTCGGTCCTATCTGCTGCTCGTCTGCCCACTGGCCCGGTCCAGGCCCCGGACATCTCTCGCTGGGATGCCCGCGATCACTGTCCCCTCCTCACCTCCGTCTCAGCCCCCACTGTCCCAGAGAAGCCACACTCCACCCTTAAGCTTTCCAAGCACACAGTGATTCACGGGTCTCTGCAGCTTCTCACTGGCCTTGGAAGACACCCAGATCAATTCCTCAATTGGCTTCCAATGAAGGCCCTACGGCTCGTGCCGCCCCCCAGCCTCACATGCCCCACCTCTGCCGTGCAAGCTGGGTGACCCTGGACAGTTTACTTCCCGTCCGTGTTGCAGCTTCTGCATCCAAAACCATACTTGTCTCATGGAGTCATTGAGGAATTCAACGCCCAAATACGAAAACCCCTTGGGACCACACTCAACACTCCAAAGTGTCTGAAGGCGTCTACCGTTCCTACCGTTCTCCCCTCCAGCCACATGGTCGCCTGTCTTAATGTGTCCCAGGGCCTTCGCACTGGCTGTCCCGGCTGCTTGTTTTTCAGTTCCACTGGGCCCTGCAGTCTCTCTGACACCATTTCATCCAAGGACCCTTTCTTAAGAACAGTCTTGCCATCCACTAATTTCACTTACAAGACTTACTTCTGCACTTGCCTCATCTATGTGTTTATCTCCTGTCTCAAAATCTGTGTCTCCCTCTGTATTGCTTGTCCCTAATCAACAGGCACAGGAGCCCTAGTGGCAAAACAAGTCAGGACCCTGGCTGCTAACTGAAAGGTGGGCGGTTCGAACTCACCCAGCAGCTCCACAGAAGAAAGAACTGGTCATCTGCGCCCTGTAAAAAGTACAGCCTGGAAATCCTTTGGGGCAGTTCCACTCGGTCATGGTCCAGCCTGGAAGCCGGGACCGAACCACAGTCCTTACTAACATCTCATGTTGAAGGAGCAAAGCCCGAGAAGGGCCAAGCCAAGTGCCTGAGGCGGCTGCTACTGCTACCCCGCAGAGAACAAGTGGTTCGCTCAGTCCACCAAGCCACCATCCTTTGCTCTGGAGTTCCAGGCAGGGCCCGTGGTTCCTTCTGGGAACCCAGGGGGCTGGTGCTGAACTCCTGCCCACGGGCAGCCAGGCTGTGTGGGCTCGGTGGAGGACACCTCGGCCCCAGACAATTCCCGTGCAAGCTGCAGCCACACAGCACGGAGCTCTCCCCCTGCCACCTGCAGGCAGCGTCTACACGGCTGCAGAACAGCCTGGGCCAGGGCTGCCTGACCAAGCCTGGTATGCGCCACACACCCAGGGCCCTGCTGAGCAGAAAACTCAGGTCCTGGCTCCAGGGACATCTCCCAGCTGAGCCCAAGGCCCGAGAGTGCCACCTTATGGGGGGAAGCTGAGCGTCAGGAGAGCAGGAGCCTCACGGCAGGACGTGAGGGCCAAGCCCAGCCCTCAGTGCTGGGCAGTAACAGCCGAGGGACACCTTCTAATCCTGCAGCTTCACGGAAACACAGCTGATACCCGGTCGACTGCATGGATTCAGAGGATGCTGTTAGTTGTCTAGTTGATGCCAGCTCACGGCGACCCTGTTTGTGCAGAGTACAACTGCTCCAGAGGGTTTACAAGCCTGTGGCCTTTCGGAAGCAGACTGCTAGGCCCATCTCTGGGCGGGTTTGCACTGCCAATCTTTCAGTCAGCGGTCTAGTGCTTAAACCACTGGCGCCACCCAGGGACTTCTGTTCAAAGTATACAGTCTGAAAGTGTTGTGAAGCACATATGTACCAGAAACACCTCCCCGCAATCAAGAATGAATACATCCTTCATCCCCAAGTTTCCCTGTGGCAGGTAAGACTTGCTACCTATGCTCAGGGGCTGCGATTCCCTGTGCTGCCACAAGGGGGCTCTGTGGTTCTCAAAATGGCCCCATCAGAAAAGAGCTAATTTCATAGACAAATGGGGGGGTTCTAGTATGTTGAGGTGGAGGAGCTCTGGTAGCATAGTGCCTAAGGCATGTGACTGCTAACCAGAAGACTGGCAGTTCAAACCCACCAGTCACTCCTTGGAAGGCTGGGCAATCTATTTCCATAGAGATACTGCCTCAGACACCCAAGGAGGGGTTGCTATGAGTCAGATCCGACTCCACGGCAGTGAGTTTAGTATTTTTCAGTGTGTTGGGGGAGGGAGGTGCCCTGAGCACACAGTGTTACTATCCATATGGGCACCAACGATCATTTTGTTACTGATACGAGCACTTAAAAAACCCACTGCCAGCAAGTTGATTCCGATGCTGGTTGGACCTGCAGGACAGAGTGGAACCACCTTAGCTTTCTCCCAGAGAGCAACTGGTGGGTCCAAACCTTCCGGTTAGCAGCCAAGCACTTAACTGCTGTGCCACCAGGAGCTCCTTAAGCCTCTGAAGGACCCTCTCAATTCTCTCAACAAACCTACCCTGCAGGTCCCACTGAGCCCAGAACCTGTAAGTGCGATCAGCCACTTGGTCAGACAGGGACAGCGAAGGACTCATGCCCCAGCTGGCTGCCTCCAGGTGCCTTGAGGTGGGCAGGCCCCTGGGTCAGACTCAGCCTGCCCCATGGTGGTCCAGCCAGGTTCTGGCCAGCTTGGCGACCAACCCATGTGAGCATCAGGAGGCAGAAGGGACAGCTGGGATGTCCTGGGTGGGGGGACAGACAGCCCCAAGGCCAGTGTGGATGAAATCCCAGACTAGCTCCGCCCTGCTGCCGCTACTGGCTTCAGGCCCTGCCCCACTCCACCCCTGCCTCCCACTCCCCTCGCTTGCTCACCCTGCCCAGAAGGTCTCTGCCTAGGGGCTTTAGAAAATGCCAACCAACCCGGGGACCCACTGGGACCAGCAGTCAGCCCTGCCCTACCTGACTCCCTCCTCCTCCAGGGAGCCTTCCAGGAAGCACCCACTCCTACCATCCCCGCCTGGCCTGCGGGATGCTGGCTGTGTCCAGAGGCTGCCAGGTATAAGCTGGAGACTTTCGCTGCAGGTTCCCCTTCTGGCCTTGGCTCTGTTTCAGTAAGTGGCACCCGTGTCCTTCCTGATGCAGAAACCAGACCCACAGGGCTGTTCCTAACACTTCCTTTGACCTTCTTCCCATCATCCCCACCCCCTGGATTCTCTCACCCACCCACCCACCTCTCTGCACCTTCCTCTCCATCACCGAAGCCCGAGGTCCCAGCACCTCCGCCTGGTGAACCAGGGAGGCCCTAGAATCCTGGACTTCTGACTTTTAACACTTAGGTGAACTCACTGAACCCCGACCTTGTAAAAATGCAAATTCTGGTTTGGGGGGGCTGGGGCCTCTGCATGTCTCACAAGCTCCCGGATGCTGCTGCCGGTCCCAAGGCCCCAAAGGGTCTCCAAAGGCCCTTCAGCACCACCCTTGTCGCCCCTCCCGCCCCAAGTCCTTCGTTCTTACAACCTGACCCTGCCACCCCCTCAAACCCTGGGCGGCTGGTGCTGAACTCCTACCCGTGGTTTCTGCATCAGGAAGGACACGGGTGCCACTCACTGAGGGAGAACCAAGGCCAGAAGGGGAACCTGCAGCGGGAGTCTCCAGCTTATGTCTGGCAGCCGCCAGGCACAGCCAGCACCCCGTAGGCCAGGCGGGGATGGTAGCAGTGGGCGCCTCCTGCAGCGGTGCCAACAATCTGTGCTGGGCTTGTTGTTGTTGTTGTTGTTGTTATGTGCTGTCAAGTCAGATCTGACTCATAGTGACCCCTCCTTGGGTTTCCAAGGCAGTATCACTATGGAAGTAGATTGCCCAACCTTCCTTCCGAGGAGTGGCTGGTGGGTTTGAACCGCCAGCCTTCTGGTTAGCAGTCAAGTGCCTTAGGCTCTAGGCTACCAGAGCTCCTGGTGGGCTATTGACCTGCAAGTTGGAGCTTCAAACCCGCCCAGTGGTCCCCAGGAAGAAAGACCCAGTGACCTGCTCCCACACAGATTACAGCCAAACCCCACGGGGTCCTCCTGCTGCCACCAGAGGTTGCCAGATTCGGAATCAACTCAAGGGCAATGTGCTTGTTTTTCTGGGGGAGTGGGGTGGGGTGTCGGGGGGTGCTTCCTATCTATTAAGAGTACCATCTTCCTGAAACACCCACCCACCTGCAGACCTCTGCAGGGCCCTTAGCAAGGGCTCTTCTACCTGGAGTTGGGCCCATGACGACTAGGACACACCATGTGGCTGGGAGGTTACCTGGGAGACTCAGCATGTCGCACTGGCGTTCAGTTGGACCGCACACCAGCCCCTGATCGGCCTCTGGGCCTGGCCCCACCCTGCCCTCTTTGCCCTGAATCGTGCCAGACCTCCGGGTGTGTGCAGACATGTGAACCTGCAGGTCTCACCAGGCCCCGAGGCCAGCTCAGACACCTGGTTAGGGTCCCTGCGGTCCCCTCGCTGGTCTCCTGGGGAGGTCACGGGGGCTCAGCTGCCTCAGCCACACCCCGTCTGGTGGGGGGGCGCCCCGGGGAGCAGCCACATTCTCCTTTAGGTCCTAACGAGGCCCCGTGTTTACTCGGCCAGCATCCCAGGGGCTCCAGCAGGCAGCTGGGTCGACGAGGCCTCCCAGGCGGCAGCATCCCATTCCTGGCTCTTTCCTTTCCATTCCGGTGTCCTGGGAAACCAGGCAGCATCCCGACCTGCCGTAGCAACAATGTCCAGCACCGCCCACTCGAGGGTCTTGCTCTGCGGGGGGCCCCCTTCACACACCCAGAATGCACATCTGACTTAACCCTCCCACAGTTGTGGGTGAGCCAGGAGGGAGGCTGGCACCACCCCTCTTTACAGATGCAGGCTCAGGGGGCAGGGTCGTCCTCCCTGGGGCACACCCTCCCTGGGCTCCCAGTAAGTCCATGTCACTCTTCCCAGCGCTGCGGGAGGAGAAACGGGGCTGGGGGTTCTCCAAACACCACCCACAAGCAGCACAGCCTCCGGCTGGGCCTCCAGGTCTCGGAGGCCCCGTTTCTCCCCTGTAAAATGGGCTGAGCCCCCTAAAACCCCAGCTGCTGCAAGAACCACCTGCCACACATGCTGCTGGCCGCCGGACTGACAACAGCAGGTGCAGCCCAGGTGAGCTCGGGAGTGGCTTCCCCACACGGCAAACGTGGAACTGGACCACAAACATGCCGGGCCCGGGGCCACTCACTGTGCCTGGTGGTGGGACCAGGGAGCAGACGCTCTTGCCCTGGCATGGCCACCCTATGACGCACCTAGGCCAGGTCTGACGTGTGAGCAGAGGCGCCCAGACCTGCCAGTGACAAGCCTGCCGCCTGGGCTCCTTGGCCAACCTGGCACGGCCTCGGGGAGCTGGCGCCTCCACACTCCGCTACTGTCCTGCAGCACCTGGCCACCGGGTGCCATGTGCCAGCCTGCTCCCTGAAATCCCTGGCCTGTCTCTGTGTCATGTGGTTCCCTGACACGTCCCAGCGGGACACAGAAACCATTCAGGGATTAATTCTGCCTTCTCCTTCTAGTCATCTGAACAGCACCCACACAGCAGAGGTCGGCCCCAAAAGCAGGAGCATGGAGTGGGGGAAGAAGAGGCAAGTTCCTCAACCCACTCAGTTGCCCCATCTGGCCCCCGAGATGTATCTGTAGAATAGGGGTTCCTGGACTTAAGAGTGAAAGCAGTAACACAGTGGACAGCACGGATCCCTCCCCTATGGGGCTCTGCCCCTCCTCATGTGGCTAGCTTCTCTACACCTTTCAGAGCTTGGCCTGACTGCAAACCACCGTCACAACCCTCCTAGTTTCCTTTAGGGCTCTCAGCATCATTTGGAAGTATGTATGTCGGTCTGTCTAGACCCAATTCTCCAGGGCAGAGACCCTATGGGGCTTGTTCAAGTAGTCAACTGTGTTCTAGACACACAGTGGGTGCCTGATAGACAACTGCCAAATGGTGCTGGATGGATGGATGAGTGAGTGGAGAAGGATGAATAGGTGAATGGATGGATGGATGAGTGGATGGATGGGTGGGTGGGTGAATGGATGGATGGGTGGGTGGGTGGGTGGATGGATGGATGGATGAGTGGATAGATAGGTGAATGGATGGATGGGTGGATGGATAGATGGATGGGTGGGTACATGGGTGAATGGATGGATGAATCAGTGGATGGATGGATGGGTGGACGGATGAGTGGGTGAATGGATGGATGGGTGAGTGGGTGGGTGGATGGATGGATGGATGAGTGGATGGATAAGTGGATGGGTGGGTGGGTGGATGGGTGGGTGGGTGAATGGATAGATGGATGGGCAGGTACATGGGTGAATGGATGGACAGATCAGTGGATGGGTCGATGGGTGAGTGAATGTATGGATGGATGAGTGAGTGAATGGATGGATGGGTGGATGGATGAGTGGGTGAATGGATGGATGGGTGGGTGGGTGGGTGGATGGATGGATGAGTGGACGGAGAGGTGAATGGATGGATGGGTGGATGGGTGGGTAGGTGAATGGATAGAAGGATGGGTAGGTACATGAGTGAATGGATGGATGGATCAGTGGGTGAATGGATGGCTGGGTGGGTAGATGAATGGATGGATAGGTGAGTTAAATGCTCTGGCCCTTGCTGTGTGTGTGAAAAGCACCGAATCTCAGGGAGGAGGGCTTGGTTATGAGGCCTGTCTCCTGTATGAGGCAGGTACGTACTTACAGCCAGGAACCAGTGGAGCTGGGGTTAAAGTCTGAGCCCTTTCCTTCAAACTGCATTGACCCTGGGGCACCGTGACTCAATGCCCAACATCTGCAGGGCGTTGGCTGAAGGTGGGGCTGCGCCTCCCTCATCTAGTCCTCTGGGTCCCACTGCTGCAGGACTGGGGATACCTGGCTCTCCCCTTTCTCCCCACCCCTACCTCACCTGGCACAGATTCAAATGCTGGCTCCTCAGGCCTCTTACCCAACACCCTTTCCTCCATCACCTGCCCCAGGTACCAGGTACTCAGCACACCTGATCTAGGTGAAGAGAAACCAGCCAGCTCAGAATCACACCTCCAGATCCTTCTCATCCCTCATCGCTGCCCGAAGGGCTCATCCCTGCTTACGGCCATCTCCTCTCTAGGGTGCCAACTCTGTGCCAGCAAGGACCTCGTCTGCCCTGTCACCACGTGTCTCCTAGGACAGCACCTGGCACACAGTCGGTCCCTGGCGTTGAGTCAGGTGGTCAGTGTGACAACGAACCTCTCCTCCCACCCTGCCCCTCCTGGAATCGTGGGGGACCACCCTGTAGTCCCACTCCCATTTCACAGAAGCCCACTCATGCAGGGGGGTCTTCTCTTGGCTCTGGTTCCCACAGGGACCCGCTGGGAGGCGGGGACACTCACAGAGGACAGGGCATCTTCCCTCCGGCGGCCCTGGCTGTGGCGGCTGATGAGGGAGCGCGCGGACAGCTTGTAGTGGCTCAGCAGGCAGGTGATGACCACCACCATCACCATCATGACCACGACGATGATGAGGATCTGCACGAACTCCAGCTCGGCTGAGGGCACAGGAAACACAGGTGAGGTCCCGGCTCGGACAGGTGACAGCCAGACAGGTGAGAGTCGGGCCTTCCAGAACCTCCATCCCACCCCACCCCCAGCAGGAAGACCCACAGACTCCCGAGTATGGTTTCCAAAGCCAGGGGAACCCATCACATTTTCCCAGCAGTCACAACATGGCGACGCTGGGTTGACGTGTGTGCTGGAGCAGGCACTGTCCAGTGGGGGGCCAGGCAGTGGCATGCAGAGACTGAGCAGGCACCACCACGTCCAGGGACTGACCCCATGGATCTAAGTACGGAGGTCAGAGAGAAACACTGCTCCCAGCTCGCAAAGACACAGTGACTTTTCTTCCTCTTCTGTACTCTGTTTGACAAACCCCCTCTTACCCACAACAGGGCACAATCGGCCCTGTTTAGTTTACCATATGCCCAGTGCTGCAGGCGCTCCAAATACAACTGCCCCAGGGCCCCTCTCCTCCATCACCTGCCCCAGGTACCCTCACAAAACACCACAGTCCACCACACGAGCTCTAAAGGCACATGTTCAAAGACATATAGAACCACACACATGCCACGCACACCCACACAAATACCAAATGGACACACACACACACACACACATACACGCACGCACCCCACCCCTGAGCAGCAGGGGTATGCCGGGAACCCACTTTTGGTGAAAAGGCCTCATAAAAGCATTCCAGATTGCTACAGGCTCTGCACTTGCCACTTTCTGAAGTTCTGTTTGCTCCTGCTGTTCCCCTGGCAGAGGAAAACCTCAAGTGGCCGGCACGCAGGAATGTCACTCCAACTCCACCCCAGCCAGCAGCTTCTGCTGACGCACGAGGGCCCGTGAGACGCAGCCTGGTGCCCGTGGAGCCTCCAACCACCGAGGAGGTGACTGGCCGAGCGGGGCCAGATGGCAGCATCGGGGCTCCGGCCTCCCAGCGGGGCACACTGGGATGCACGCCCCTAGACCCAGCACCCACACACCCCTTGTGGCCTGGGCACTAACAAGCAATTAGCGAAACCCCCAGGGCCCAGGTTCAAGCCCAGCACCACCCACTCAGCGCTTTCTTCTCCCAAGACAGACGAACCCAAGGTGGAAGGCAGAGCGACTGACAGCAGGCCCCTGGCAAGCCCAGACATCTGACGCCAGACCCCAAGGGCCCACCTGCTGCCAGCAGCCTGGGATTCCCTGCCTGAGAACCCAGGCTTCGAGCAGGAAAGCAAGGCGTTGAGATGGACGCCCCTGTGGGCCCCTGGCCTCCATCCAGGTTTGCCCCAGACCCCCAGGTGCAGTGGCATGTCCCGGTCGTCACCTGTGTCAGGAACCCTGCACCTACCCCTTCTCAAGCCCCTTCCCGTACCTGTCCAACTTCCCCAGGCCCAAGCACACTTACTGGGTGGTGTTCCTCTAACGGGGTGACCTAACCCCCAGGGCACCTGGGGCAGTTTCTGGGGACATCTTTGCTCGTCACAACTAGTGGGAAAGGGGCTACAGGCTGGAGGCCGGGGCTGGTGCTCGACATCGGATACTGCCCAGGACGGGCCCCTAGAGAACGCCCCAGAGTCCTCTGGGCCGAGGGTACCTGGGAACCATGCACTTCCGTTATTGGACAAATAATAATAAAACTTCGCAGGGTTTTTTGTGTGTGAAAGTCAGCAACGTTAATTAAATTACATTCTGCAAACAACCCCCTTATGTGTTTCCAAGAGTTTGCATCACTCTTAACAGAAACTCTGGTGCCTCCTCCGGAGCCCTGGTGGTGCAACAGTTAAGTGCTCAGTTGACAACCAAAACGTACGTGGTTCAAACCCGCCCAGTGGTTTGACAAAGGCCTGGCAATATGCATCTGTGATGATTACTGCCTAGGAAACCTGAGGGGGCAGTTCTTGTTTGTCACACGGGGTCACCACCAGCAGGGACTGACTTGACGACACCCAACAACGACGAGAAGCAATGCAAGGCACTGTGAGCACCCCCATTCCACGGCGGGCGAAGTAATCCGTGCCAGTCACAGAGCCCAGAGCCAGGCCTGTGGCTCCTCAACACACAGCCCTCCCCCTTGCACCAGGGAATGGCACCTGGGCCTGCCTTGGGGCCTGGGGCAGGAGGGAGGATGAGCGAACCAGGGCTGTGGGTGTGCTTCCCCGAGCTGACCACGACACCCTCGCTCTCCTGCCTAGCGCCGTCTCCTCACAGCCTGGCCTGACCGTGGGGGCCAGGCCCTGTCCGTCAGGGCCAGGATAAAGCCGCCCATTCAGGGAGGGACACACAGGACCTGCTTTGTCCAACGCCCACAGCTCCCCTCCCTTCTCAGAGAGGCCCTACAGCTCCACTGCCCCCCCAAACCCTGCGCACTCTTCACCCCGGCGGGGGCTGGGCACCTGCAGGGAAGCCAGGCTTGTCTCTAGGGCCCTGGCCATGCCAGGCCTGGGGGAGGGAGGGAGGCGGGCTGCCTTTGTCCCTGTCCTCGGGCCCTGGCAGCCAGCAGGGCCCAGGCCAGGCTGCTGCCCTCCTCCTGGCATTGTCTGGAGCCCTAGAGACGACAGGCTCTGGCTGGGGACTGCTCGGTGGGCCACGGTGAGGTCAGCACTTGACGGCAACGAGGAGGGCCGGTAAGCCGTCGTGTGCGGACGAGACCCCGCTGTCCTGACCCAGGCAGGCTGGGTCAGGAAGGCTGGAGTGCAGATTTTTGGGTGGCCACATCCAAGAGACAGAACCCCTCCCACCCCCATAGGGTACAGGCCAGAAATGAGCAGAGGGCTTCTCAAAGGGCACACACGACTGGTGGGTCCCCGGGTCACAACCCCATGAAGACACAAAGACACAGGCCTGGAAAACTCACACCGAGAGGAGAGGAGGGAAGAGGAAATGGGAAAATACGACTGCCAGGCTGCACTTCGGAAGTAAAGGCCTAGAGGTCCAGGCTCAGAGAGGAGATTCCCAGAGGTTACCAGGACTCGGTGCTATGGCTCAGGGTACCCCCACCCCAGAAGAGACCAATTAGCACAGTGCAGTCCACAGGTTTGGGCTCCAAGTTGTGCTGTGGGACCTTGGGTAAACTGCTATACCTCTCTGAGCCCATCTCATTCCCTATGCAAAAGGAGACCCTTTATAATATATAATATAAATGGCTCAGGACCCCTCTATAGTATTTAATAATGTCGACGGCATGTAACAACAAGGTATTATATGATCTTGTTTTATATTTATCTTATAAAATATTTAATAATGTATTACTGAAGTCCCCAAAGAGTTTTTGTTTATGTCAAAAAACAAAAAGAGAGAGAGAGAGACCACCGGGCCTGCCTGCAGGGCTGGGTGGGGGCATGTGCTCAGCTCAGAGGGATGCCTCCTAAGGGCTCACATTATAGTCAGGAGAGCGAAGAAGGTTTCACCCGCATTCCAGTTACAGGGCCCGGGACAGAGTGTTACTACTGTCCACTCAGCTGGGCTGTGGGGCTCAGGTTGTTTGGTCAGACAGGGCTCAGCTGTTGTTGCGAAGGCACTCTGTACACATGATAACACCACACCACAGCAGTCAGGTAGCCACCCTGCATGGCACAAACGGTTCACGCCCACGTTGAATGTTACGAACCTAAAGACGGGTGGTTCAAACCCTCCCAGTGGTGCCCCTGCAGAAAGCCCCAAGGATCTGCTTACAGCCAAGACAACCCCACGGGGCATTTCCTACTCTGTCACATGGGGCCCCAGCGGTGGGATCGACCTGATGTCACCCGGGGCCCCAGCGGTGGGATGGACCCGACCACAGCAGTCTGGGCTTTGGTTTGTCAGTGAAGGAGGTCACCTTCCACCGCGTGGAGGCCTCATCCAGCCACCTGACGGCAGCACGCCCCAGGACCCCAAGGCCTTCACTCCTGCTCAGCTTCCGGCCTGCCGATCGGCCTGCGGATTTCACACTCAAGACTCAGGATCACCGAGACTTGCCAGCCTCCAGTCGTGTGAGCCCGCTCCCCCACTAAATCACGCCTGTATTTAAACAGACAGGCTGGCGGGTCACCTATTGGTGCTGCTTCTGCCTCCCTCGAGAAGCCGGAACGATAGGTTTAAGAGACGTCACGGGACATCACAGAGATGCCTCAGACACCAGAGACACTGCTGACACATCACAGAGACCTCTCAGAGTCCTCTCGAGAGACATCACAAAGATTTCACAGGGACATCGACAGCGATGCCCACCTTACAGACACCACTGAAACGCCACAGAGCCCTCTCAGAGATGTCACAGGGACACCAGAGTCACCACCGAGTCGCCAGAAACATCACCAAGTCGCTCTGGAACTTCTCAGCAAACAGTCCCGCATGCACAGCAGGTCATGAAGACTCCCTATAATTTGGGCGTGGGGCTCCAAAGGGCAGTTCTTTCTCATGGAGGAGGGTGAGGGAGAGGAGAAGGCATGTAAGAGGTAGAAGGAAACAGCCTGAACAAAGGGTTGGGAACGAGTCTCTGTGGAATATCCCAGAACATGTCCAGGCATGGAGGTGGCCGCGGAGGCCCCTTGGCCAGCAGTTGATTCACCCCACCCACGTGGCAAAGAACCCCAGGCTGGTGTTTTGGCCCAGAGGGCACTGAGCTCTCCACATCTAATGGATACCCCTACCCTGCCCTGACGGGAAGAAGAGGGTTGTGAAGGGATGGGGCTATACCACTTGACAGTATCTGGGGCCCACACATGGACCCCGAGAGCTACCCCTGGCCATGGGGTCCAGGACAGCAACTACATGTGTTTGGTGGACACAAACCCACGTGCCTAAGGGGGGACCACCCCAGTACTTGCTGGTGGAGGTATCCACCCATTCCCACCTGTTATTCTGGAAGGATCCATGCAGATCCATGCTCTGAGGCACATCTACTGTTCCTCCAACACCCAGACCACTCACAGACATTACTTCTCAACCAAGGAGCCCTGGTGGGACAGTGGGTAAGTGCTCGCTGTGAACTGCAAGGTCTGCAGTTCAAACCCACCAGCTCCTCTGCAG